CCCCCCCCCCCCTCTGGCAGGAAAGTCTTTATCTGGTCAGCAAGCTTTTATAATTGAAGTCAACAGTTTAGCATATATACATAATTTTATATTTAAAACATTCATTATTGCAATTGCACTTTCGGTGGCGAGCGAGGCATTTTCATTAGGTGGCGGCTCCTTTAAGAGCGCAAAGCATTCCGAACTCCGCTATGACGTCAGAGCAGTAAGACGCTGGCCGAAAGTCGCGAAGGGCCAGTGCTCGACTCACGGAGGAGTAGGGTTGGCGCGCATGCTATTCTCGACTTTTTAATTCAACATTTGTGTTTTTAAGTCGCTCGGCGGCGCTTTCGAAAAGCCCGTGACACTTCGAAGCCGTTTAAACTTGAAGTGGTTTTATGTAAGTCGTCTTTTTAACTCTCTGAGCCCTGAATTGGTGGGTTGACCCTCGACATGGATATTAGCTAGCTTAGCTAACGTTAGTCACCAAGAAACCGAAATAACGGCGCATCAGAGGGTCCGTGTCAGAGTTTTATCGCTTTTAAACGTAGTTTGTGTGCCTGGAGTCGAGCTCTCTGAGGCAAATCTTCGCCTTGGGTGTTGCCAAAGAAAGACTGAAGTTCGGGAGAAGTAGCTAAGTTAATTGTTGAAGATAGGGAAGAAAAGAGCTGGGAGATGTTGACTAACGCCAACAGTCCGCCGAAGTTTCCAAACCAGCAACAACAACAACAGCAGCAGCAGCAACAACAGAATACAGCCCAATTCATGATGGGAAAAGCCTCACTTCAGATCAAGAAAAATGCCATAACTGACGACTACAAGGTCACTAGCCAGGTCCTGGGGCTGGGCATCAATGGCAGGGTTCTGGAGATCTTTCACAAGAGGAGTGGGGAGAAGTATGCTTTAAAGGTAAAATTGAGACACTTATAAATCTGCTGTTGTACATTATGAGCTTGATTCAAACGAGGACACGTCTTTGTGATTATGTGTAATAGTAATAACACACCTCAGCGTTGTTTTCTGGTTGTTAAAAGGACCGACTACTCACTCTCTCATATTCATATAGCCTCAAATCAGTGTTTTATTATTCATTTGGAGTGTTTTCCTCTGTAAAGTAGGTTTAAGGGATTTAATAGTAACCAGGTAGGCCTTCTGCAGGTGTTCTTCCAGGGTACACACACAGTGATTTGTGAGTGAGTTAATCATTCATTTTAGGAGCACAATGGAAATTGGACAGCCATCTGTTTTATTAAGAACCAGGTGGCAGGTTCCTGTTCCAGCTGGCCTTGATATTAACGACTGTATTGGGCAGCATGGCTTGGATGAGAGGGCAGATAATGACATAAGACATTCCACTTTCATCAGGAGGAGTGTTTGTTTCATTTAGACTGACGCAAATTCACTGGTAGTTACGCAAAACAGGAAGGTGAATCTTGTTTTGGTCAGGTGATTGTGGAATGAGTGTGACAGCTGACTCGGTATTGAATTGTGTTGAAGTTGCCATGTGATTTTTGGTTGTTTGTAGAAGGTTGACACCAGCATTGGCCTGTATTTGGTTGACTTGTTATTTGGAAAGTTACTAACATATTTTTAATTTGGAAGTTTCCACCAAAAAAGTCACATGCTTTTTAGATAACCTTCTAGTAGTAGCTAACAAACTGGTTACATACTAAAATGACCTGAAATTATCAGGTGTCATTTAGGCTATATAAGTTTGGGCTTAGTTAACCCACCCTCAAGTTGTTCCAAACCTGTATAAATGTATTTCAGCTGTTGAACATAAGATATTTTGTAGAATGCTGGTAACCAAACAGTGGAGAGTGAGTAAATGATGACAGAGTTTTTTTTAAAATTATTTTTTAACTATCCCTTTAAAATGAGTGTAAATTTGAAGCCATAGCTTTGTGGTCAGTTTTCCAATGTATGGCGGAGTAATGCTCTGTGTAACTGTAACCTATTTTTAAGCCTGCCTCAAGATTCTTTCCCACGTTTTCCTTCCATTACTGCTTTTCTCCTCTATACTGTCATATAAAATAAAAGCATAATTCCACAATATATTTTAAATTTTTTTATTGTTTATTTTTATTAAAGATACATTTTTGTGTTATCAATGTAACTTTAATTGAATTAATCCATTAAAATAAATTGTTAATCCATTAAAATAAATTGTTTCTGAATCATTGTGGCTGTTAATTATAAAATCAACATCAAATGCAAAATGTTTGGTAATCATATACCTCTTCATTTAAGTTAAACTATCTAGCTTATGACATTGTCTTCAGATGATTTAAACCCATAATTTGACAGACAGAAAATAATATAAAGAATTATCAAATATTCCATAAGCAAAAAAACAAACAAACAACCAGACGTTCACTATGGGGGCATTTTTGCCAGCACATTTGACTTAACTTTGGGCTTTGTTTGGCACTTTTTTGTCCCAAGCCCTGGTTAATTTCTGGTCCTTGGTTTATACAGGTTGCACCTGCATTTAGGTAATTATGACCTATTTTTTCTTTATTTTTCTGAAGTTTAGTGTCTTATTTTTTCTGTGGAAAATAACGAAATAAAAACCAAACTAATTATGTAATGTACTAATCAATTTATTTTTCCATAACTGCACATCATGATGAAATAAATTATTATCAAATGGTTTCCATGTTAGTAGTAGTTTTATGTGAAGTAGAACTATAGGGCCTTTCGCACCGCGGGAACCTTTTCATAGTACCAGAACTAATTGTGGAACTACCCACTTTTTGGCGTTTTCGCACCGCCGGAACTGGGTGCGATTTTAATACCGGACTGCCTTTTTAATTAGCTCAATTAGCTCCTACTCCGGAGCAGGGTCTAACCAGCACAACTGGTACTAATCGTGACGTAAGATTGGCCAAACGCGTACGAAAACGCCCTCACCCTCCATGATTTAAAACGCCGTGTATCGCATTAGCATTTACTCCACCGGCCTCGCTCCGTTCCCACGGCTCTCGGCCCCGCCCCTCTCGTCACAAGGTCTTTTTAGAAACATTCATTATTACGGTGAAGTTGAAAGTTATTTTGAAGCCACCCCAAAATATTGATCACATGTAAACAAATCTTCTTATTGAAGGGGACTACTGTAAGGTCCAGCATCTGCTTTTTGCTTCAGCTTGGTGGGATAGGATGATTATCTGTTGAAGGAAAGCCCTGTTGATCTTCCAGGGCCATTGATGATGTCAGCACCCTGGCTGGCTTTCTGTCATTGTGCTGGATCTCTGTGCTCTCCAGTGACAGATCTGGCTCAGCCCCCGCATTCATCACTGCCACACGGCCTGGCTGTTTTTAGCTGCAGAAGAGCATTGCATGCTTGTGGGAGGCAGGAAAAGAGTGAGGGTCTATAAAGCATGAGATAAATAATGACTGATAGTGGTTTGGAGAGTCCATTAATGATCTGTGTTAGGGACATAGACATTCAACCACCACTGTGATTTAGTGTTTGTGCATCAGGGTGCCTTTGATCTGTATGTTTGGGGAAAAATGAGTCATAGCTGACCTGCCTGTTAGTAAAATTAATTTGAACTGAGGAGCTGTCCACCCCACAAAAGAGCGCAATTTTGTTAAGTGCATTTCCTTGTGTACATGTTTGGGGAAATTGGCTTGTTTTTACTAGGGCTGTGACGGTGGAAGATTTTTACCACCACGGTGGTAGTGGACCAACTACCGTCGGTGGTGGGATGTTGATAGGCTATATATAAATATAAATATAAATATATATATAAATAATTCATATTAGTTATATGTGACCCTGGATAGGGTTGGGAATCAAAAATCGATTCCAGAATCGGATACTTAAGGTCAGGAATCTTGTTGTACTTGTTGTCAAATAAAAATTTTGATTCCACCTATCGATTCCTATGCGCTTATCCCTATGCAAAATCGTCCCAGTACTTTAGTACTGTACATTTAGTTCTGGAACTAAAGCGGTGCGAAAGGCCCTTATGTTGACCTCTTCTATTATCTACTATTTACTCTTCTACTAAGTGATTGCATTTTGTATTTCATTAGCACACAGGTATTTAGTCCCGGCGGTTTTTGACGAGTTAAAAGCCAGCCAACAAGACTTGGGGCAAAATGTATGTCTCAAAGGTCAGAACAATCCACTTCTGCGGTTAGCCTCTTCCCACTCACTGTCTGTGCTGCTATAGCAGCAGAGTAGAAATGCAGAGGTGTTAATTTACTCCCTCTTAACATTTGTTTGGTTGAGGTCTGTGACGAGAGGGGCGGGGCCGAGAGCCGTGGGAACGGAGCGAGGCCGGTGGAGTAATT